TGTTTTTAAATAGATTTACACCACTTTCAACTATAATCAATGGTTACGTAATTTCCTTTACTGGCTTAATATTAAATTGAATAAAAAGCATTGACATTTTTCAAGAAATTAAATACTAAATAAAAAGTTTACATTCAATTAAAATATAAATTACGTGTGACATTTTATTTTTGTGTTTTTAAATAGATTTACATCACTTTCAAAATAAACAATCCATATATCGGAATTAAATATTATATTATTTTGTATAGAAAAATAGAAAAATGAGGAGAAACAGAGAGGGAGGATAAAACGAGGAGGTGGGGGGATGTAAAAGAAGGGTTGAGAGAAGGGAAAAGGCGCGAAATCTCGAGTTGTCGAAGAACGTAGACTGCCTATAATTAGCAGACGAGGATGAGGATGAGGATGTTGGTCGCGTTCCTCTCACCTCCCTTTTTGAGATTGCGAGTGGTGAAACTCAATCGAGTTTCTCTGATCTTCTTCTTCTTCTTCTTCTTCTTCTTCTTCTTCTTCTTCTTCTTCCACAGCTGCCCGACGAGTTGCACATTACACCATGCAACGAACGACCCCAAAGCATGAGTCCATGGTAATCGTGTGTTTCCTGCCGCATCGTGTTCGTCGTCGTCGTCGTCGTCGTCATCGTCGTCATCCTCATCCTCATCGGTATTACTACTACTACTAATACTAATACTACTATTACCACTTCAACGATAGTTTGCGTAGGTATTTGCCTCGCGTGTACACTCGTACGAATAAATTTTCCTGCTAAAGTCACCAATGCCAACGCAGTGTAACTATACTCAACTTATTTCTTTCTAATTTTTCTTATATATCAATTGATTGATCAATTTTCAACACATCCAATTGCATTGTCTAACAATAAATCATGAATTCAAATTCATATTGTAATTTATATTATATTCAATTCATGGGGGAGGTGGGTCATAAGGTAACACAGTGGACAACAACAATATTTAAGATGCAAACCTTAGTGCATAAAGTAACTATACTCAACTCATGTTTTTCAAATTTTTCCTATATATCCATTGATTGATCAATTTTCAACACATTCAATTGCATTGTTTAAGAGTAAATCACGAATTCAAATTCATATTGTAATTTATATTATATTCAACTCATGGGGGAGGTGGGTCATAAGGTAACAGTGGACAACAACAATATTTAAGATGCAAACCTTAACGCATAGAGTCAGTCAGTCAGTCAGGTACAACATGTCTCTTCCTTTAAAACACGAACACCGTTGGAAGATAAACGTGCTCGTGAGTTTAAATATGTGTGTATGTATGTACATAAGAAAATATCTTTTCCACGTATGATGGGAGGGATTGGAACGCGTTTACTTAATAAATTATCGTGTTTTTTTAATTTAAATAATTATTATAAAATGATGAACGTATTATTAAAACTAGGATTGAAATTTTTTTGTCTGTATAATACCTAGTGCGTGTACTTTTATATTTCCTTTATTTCTTTCTTTCTTTCTTTTTTTTTTTTTTTCTTTTTTCCCCCCTTTTTAGTTGTTCAGCACACGAAGAAAGAAAGCATGGGAGTGCCCCTTCGAAAATTATTCCGTGGAGTGTATCTTGGCATCCGATGATTGTGAGCCAGAGGCTAGCAGCTAGCTAGAGTGGTCTTTCGGAGTGCACGTGCGCCTTGCACGTGTTAGCTGTGGGGTGACCCTCCCGATTCCTGACTGCCTACAGACTGTAACATCGTATCAGGGCCACACTATAACTATATATATGTATATATATATATATACTACTTGCTATAACTATATATATATATATATATATATATAATACAGCTCTGCTTTACCACGAATTCACCACTCACTGTTTCTTTCTTTCTTATTTTTCTCTCTCGTTTTATTCATTGCGAAGAAAAATAACGCGACACGTTAATTGTAAATGAGTTTTTTAGCAAACAATCAGGGTTTATCAATTTTTTATTAATTCTCATTATCATTTTCTTATCGTTGCATTTAAAATGCCACATTTTATTATACAAAAAATATTCATAAATGTTAGGAGACAAGAATCAGTGCCTAAAAACTAACGTGAACATATTCGTTTGCTTGCTTGCTTGCTTGCTTATTTGCGCAGCTGTTCAAACGGGCCGCGAAAATACTACACCACTACCACACCTCGTGTCTTCTTCTTCTTCTTCTTCTTCATCGTCATCATCGTCGTCGTCGTCATCGTCGTCATTCGTTTTTAAAATATCCGAGTCCTCGAAAGTACGTGCGTGCGTGAATGCGTGAGTGAGTGAGTGAGTTTCATGGCAGAGAGACGTTCAAATGCACCGAAATGCACCAGACATTTTAGTTTTTATGTTAGTGGGTAACATACGATACGAATCGTCATTAACGCAACTAGATACACTAGTATCTTGACCCCATTTTCTTCATCATCGTTGTCTAGGACTAATATTCAACAGGGAATCTAGAACAAAATTATATTGGAAATAGAAACTTTTATTTTTCTTTTTCTTTTATTTTTCATTATTATATTATATTATACTACTACTGTGTGAGATATAACAAAAATCTGTGTGTGTGTGTGTGTAGTTTTTTCCGTTTCTTTTTGTCCCCTTTTATTTTATTCGAAATTAGATACGCAACGTAGTAGGTATCCTGTTTACTCGAATAATAAAAGATAACGAGAGAAGAGACTAGTATCGTGTTCCTGTCTATCTTGCTTTTTCAAGATTCTCACTTCTCTTTCTTTTCTTTCTTTTCTACCGGAAATTCCTTGTTTCAGGTCGAAGTGTTAACTTTGTATTATTTTTTAAAGATTATCTAACACAACGTTAAAGTTTAGCAACGGATTATATATTTCTTATAGATATTATTTTATTTTATTTATTTGTGATTTATGCGGATGATTTTTACCTATCCATTTTACGTGTGCTTTTTTTACGTTCCCGAACTGTGGATATTAATTAACCCTAGAACTATTAACTGGGGTAGATATCTATCCCAGGTAAACTTAAATTAAATGAAGATTTCATCGTTTTTCGGTACTTTAATTAATTGCAATCGATTTTTCATCAATTGAACTTTAGTCAAATTGAATTTGCTTTCCTCACCATTCTCTTTGGCATGAAAAATGAAAAAAACAGAAAAATTCGTATACTTAAAAGTCTGATTATTACAATCAGAACAGTTTTTAGGATTTTAAAAAGAACACTTTGGGGTAAATACATACACCAGTTTGTATTTTAGGGGTTAAAAAAATAAGTTTGTAGTTCTAGGGTTAATTCACGTTTCAGTGAATTCCTGTTTTTTTTTTGTTGAAAGCAGTAGCATTCATTCCGCAGGTATATTCATCAGAAATGTTTTCAGACATTTTTCTCAGGTATTCCAAAATACTTTTCTTACCATTTGAGACACCATACTCGAATTGTAATTTATTTTCACGTGTTCCTTCCTTCCTTCCTTTCTTCCTTCTTGGAATATTTTTTTACCAATCACCTTTCTTTCCTTGCTGTCTCACGGCCATGCACAATGGCTGTGGTTTTAACCCAGAAATATGGAGGAACATCGAAGTAACCATAAAAGTTGAATATATGTGTGTGTTGTATAGGTATAACTACGTCAGTGTGTTGCAGGGTGGTGGGGGTAGAGGAGGGCACGCATTCCGGCGATGATGGTTGTGATGCATTCGTCGAAAAAATTGTTCTTTCTAAAGAAAACATAAAAAATGTGCTACTGCTGCGTGAGACGAGTAACAAGTTTCGATATTTTACAATTTTATTATACAGAACACACATTACAATAATACAATGTTTTCTATTATATTTTTCATTCGCACGAGAGAAGATCATTAAGACACGGAGGGGGGTGGGGGGGGGGAAGTGATTAAAAGAAGTAGAAAAAAAAAAAAAGAAAAAGAAGAGAACTGTTCCCTGAAAAGAGTGGGAGGGTGGGTAAAAGGGGTATGCATTGCATCAATACAACGATGATTATTCATCTGTGAGAACAGAGCAAAGCCAGCACGTTTTCTCGTTAGTTAAAATACCATTTGAAAAGAGAAATATGTTAAGAAATTTCTTTTTATCGATGAAACATAAAAATGATACCCTTTTAACCCCGTTGTCGTCATAATTTACAAACGGAATATAATAATAACCCTCCCCATCCCTACCCCCCGTTCCTATCAGTGTTATAATAAATATCACGATAAAATTACGAAAAAATTTAATGCATTATACGTAAAAGTTAGGCCACAGGCATACGTAAAAAAAAGAAAAAAGGAGAAAAAAAAAACCACTTGACGCCAGCCACTCTTCTCTACGTCAGATCATCGATAAGAAAACGTAAAACAAGGACCACCTTTGTTTAATTCTTTGACTTAACTTCTCGTCAGTCTGTTTTCTATCCGAGAAAAAAAAAGCTCAACCTCCCCCGGTACTCCTACCCCTACCCCAGAGTCCGTTAGTTTAAGTGTAATAATAATAATAATAATAATAATAAGTCGATTAAATTCGTGTTTTTATTCGAATCAAATCACATCATCGTTGCGTGAAAGTTTTCTATCCTCCCCATGAAGAAAAACTCATGGCGACAAATTTTACGAGAAGTAAGAGCCAACCAACCAGCCAACCAACCTGAGATGACCAGGTTGGTTGGTGGGTTGGTTGGTTGGTTGGTTGGTGGTGGGTTTCACGTGTGTACGTTGCCAATATAGCCGCAAGGCTAACAGGTAAACCGGCCGTAGAGAGAAATAAAGAAAATAACTTTACAAAAGTAAGAAAAAAAGTAATCAGGAAGAAGAAGAAAAAAACAAGCGAAAAAAAAGAGGAGGAGTAGAAACCCGAAAAAGGTAAAGCTTAGCGACGAGAGTGAAGGGGAGGGGGAATCCAAAAAAAAAAAAAAACAAAAAAAAAAGATTTAAAATGTACTTACTTGACTACCGGCTATGTATATTACTTATATACCCATAAGATCTTTATTGTATTTCGTGAATGCTAAATGTTTTATGCATTTTAAGATTTCTTTTGATCATATTTTTATATTTTGGAATACACTTATCATTACTATTTTATTTCGAGCAATAGTTAATAGTATAATAGAAATAATGAGAAATAAATTCAATTGATTAATTATCAAACAGAAAAAAAAAAAGGTCATCGTGGTTTAAATGTTGAATGCAAGTTAGCAAGAGAGAGAGAGAGTATGTCGAGAAACGATGATCGATAAGAATATACGTGTAAAAATTCAGCGCGCGAAGATGAAGAGAATGAAAGAAAAGAAAAAAAAGAGAAAAAAAAGGAAAAGAGAAAGAAAATGAGAGAGAGAGAGAGAGATGATGATGGCGAGAGAAAGAAGTTGAAGGGGAAAGCGGGTTCGCAAAGGCGACCAACGAAGGTGGCTGCTGGTCCGGTTGGTTTGGCCCCGTGGGAACGCGTTGGTGGCCAGCTGCACTGATTGCCGTGAGAGGACGTGACGTAGTTGTATGTCTATGTGTATATGTATTAGTATTATTAGTGTTGTTTGCGTGTAGGTGTGTATAAATGTGTAGGTGTGCATGCAAGCAAGCAAGCAAGCAAGCAAGCGAGCAAACCTAATGCACTTTTGCGCGTGTGCGTTGGAAGTAGAAGTAGAAGAGTAGGGGTAGGGCAAAGGGGTGGGATGGGGAGGGGTGGGGAGGTTGCCCACATTCCTGAGAGGCGCCGGCCAGTCTACGGCACACCTGCGCGTTCGGTTGAATCACGGCGCCTCCGACATAACTCGATCTCCTTTCTCTCTTTCTCTTAAAACTCATGCATGTTTTTATCCTTCTCTCTCTTAACTGCAACAACCAACTTACGTTCCTTCCTTCCTTCCTTCCTTCCTTCTCTTTTTCATTCGCTAAAATGAGCCCTGCTGCAGTTCGTTCCTTCGTTCGTTCGTTCGTCTTCTTCTTGTTCTTGTTCTTCTTTGTCGGGCTTAGTTCTATCTTTATCCTGCTTGCATTTATACCATTGGTTATAATTCGCTATCTCTCTTTCTCTCTCTACTTTCTGTCCCCCCTCTCCCCCTTTTATTCTCGACTATACTGGTATACTCCATTTCGGTGCCGGTTCTCTTTCCTTGACTCCTTCTCCGATTTTTTATCTTCTATCTTCCTTTTCTTGATTGTACTTTCTATCTTTTTTCTTTTTTTTTGCTTCTTACACAAGTACTCTTCCTGACGGACCCTCTGCAAGAGGATCGACGGCCTCCCGAGAAAGCAAGCAAGCTAGCAAGGGGGCAGTAAGAGGATATGCACAGAGTAGGCCTGATGTTACGTACGATCGAAGGCGTGCAGGTGTCCGTTCGTTCGTTCATTCGTTCATTCGTTCATCGATGCTAAACTAAGATCTAAGCTAACACTATCCAATCACGTAGCGAAAGCTACGAACAATCACTTGTTAAGTCAATTGACAAGACACATGTTTATATTCCTTATTTCAATAAATTTCCTTTCATTATATTTTTGTTTTAACAAGATCATCTTTATTTCTCATTGTTCGTGTCATCATCGTTTCAAAAACTAAGCTTTTATACAATTAGAACGATCGATATAAGCGTTTTCGTCGAATTTGTGTTACTTGAAAATGATTAAATTATCCATTAGGGTGATGGCGGCGCTGATTTTCTTAAGTTCAGATTTAAGTATGTATTATTTTATAAATAAAACTAATGTGAAGGTACTTATGTACACATGTAAGAAGTTTTATTCTTCTTTAGTGTAACAAAACGAATATAACCTTAAAAATAATTTCAATTTTCCCGCGCATTTTATAAATATCGAACAACTTCGTGGTGTAGACTTTTTCGGTCGCATCTAACTTCACTTTCATAAATATAACTTCAATAAAAACAAATGAAACAAATAATTCTCTTTGATGTTTTTAAGAATAAAAAAAACCACCAGACCATGCGAATCGACGCGCTCTCTAGTGGCAATTGAAATCATCATCTCATTGCGAATATTGTAGCCATATTTATAACACTGCAATCGTTCTCCTTGTATATAACCTTCGTGGTTTTCAAACATTCCTTCAGAATATTATACCATAGATTTTATATGAATTATTCGAAATGCAAATGATAAATAAAGAAAAATTGTTGCAACGATCGATCGATACTTGTCTCAAATTTTGTTTTATTCTCATGAAGTATTTAGATAAAACGAAGGACATGAAGAAAAAGTATATTATATAGTACACGGTATTAAGAGGATAAGATGGAGAATATGTGTGTGTGTGGTGTGTGTGTGTGTATGTGGGGTGAGAGAAAGAAACACGAGACACCACGATAATCTCGCCGGACGTGAGAGACTCGAGACTCATTCAGTGACGTGGGAACGTGTACAGATACCATTCATAAGTCGGCCCGTACCGGACCTCGTACCGGAGAACTTACGAGAGTGTGTGTAAACGATCATGCGCCCGTACGAGAGGGTCGATCATCTGTCATTCGGTTTATTCTACGAATTTACCGAAGTAGTCCAAGCAACAAAAGGAGAACTTGATAAATTTAGCTACATTGTTAAAACTTGATATAATTGTAATTCGACGACGCTGAATCGAATGGTGCTATTTTTTTTTGCAATCAGATTTTCTGGTAATGAGAAAAAGGGTAAAAAAGGGTAAAAAAGCCATATCTTAGAATCTAGGCATTTAATCGAAAAAAGTTTCAAACAAAAGTTGTAGATAATAGATAAAGCGAACGATAACGTGTAAGCTGGGGAGGGGCCTGGGGTGGTCTGGGATAGGCTGCGGGAGGGGTTGGTTCGCACATCGATGATGTGAATTCCACGATATGGAATTTCAATTTTATTTGTTTTTTCTTTTCCCTAATACTTTTCAAATTGCATTCTATTGTTATTTTGTTATTTTGATTTGTTCGCGTTCGATTATTGTTTATACCCATCGCTAGAGGACCCATCGAGAAAACGAACGAACGAACCCGCAGCCTTTCCTTCACGGCATCTCCTCCTCTTTCTCTTTTTCTCGCCCAAGGAACGTCGTGGGATTCGTGGGAGCCTGTTTTCCGTTGTTGCCTCGTTGCATCGCGAACATGGGACCCCATCATGTTGTTCTTGTTGTTGTTTTGTGTTGTACGACCACGAAACGTAGCTCGAATTTCTCCTTAAGATCGGAGACGATTGTCGTTCATTGGATTGGACCCCAATTTTCGTGAGAATTGCCGAAATTTGGATAAGAAAAGAAAAAAAAAAAACACACACAAAAAAATAAATGTCGACTGCAGTATTAAATTGTTTAGAAAATATAATAATGACACGTATACGTAGAATGCCATTATTCGTGTTACAAATTCGTAGGCAACGAATGAACGTTGTTGTTGTTGTTGTTTATTAGATCATCATAAAACGTATATGTATATTCAAGGGTAGCTATGAATTGCATCTGCACTCGGTAGGGGTATTAGGAACCAACCCTACAAGAACCTTTTTCAGAATCGAGATCCCTGAGAAAAGCAAGCGAAGTATTCGTCCAGGTGTCGCGAATAACAGCACCTGGAAGTACTTCTGTTTACCGTTATTTTCGTTCGTGCTCGTTAAAGCATTTCCAAGCTTTCCGTCTCGAAAGACAAAGCGTTATTATTGTTAGCATCAACTATTCTTAAACGGTGTACACTATACATATATATATATATATATTTATTTATTGATTATGATAATATATAATAGAGACACGTAATTTGCAATGAATTCTCTTTTACAGTTTTAGATGATTTAAATATACATTTAAAAGAATAAAGAAATTTTTAAGACAGTTTTCTTAAATAAAATCAATTCTATTCAGATTTTGTATATCGCAAGTACCAATATTTGTGTATAATTATGCACGCATATTTAATGATACTTTGTTTATTGTGTCATCGAATCATTTCGTTGAAACAATCAACGAGAAAAGAACACTTGGGTTTTTAATTAGCATTAATAATAACGCTTTATCTTGTTTCTGCTTGATGATTATGGAAGGGAAGGGTAGGGGGAAGTTATGGGAAATACGGATCGAGCTTTCGGGGTCGAGGTCATCGAGAAAATCCGGGAATCTGTCCAGGTGTCCCGCGTGAATTACAACAGCTGTTTCGCCCTCTTTTCAATTCATTCTTTCTTTCTATTTCTTTCTCCCTCTCTCTCTCTCTCTCTCTCTCTCTCTCTCTCTCTCTCTGTCTCTGTCTCTCTCTCTTTACTTGGAGAACTCGAGGTTTTCCCTTTGTAATTAATGAAATTCTCTTGAAAAGACACCTGTACAGAAGAGACGGTCGCACAGGTGGCACTCGAGTGTATTGCGATAAAGCCGAGCTCTCGTACAGGTGTACGAAGCAGGTAGTCGAGAGTACTCTGAATCGGGAACTTGCATTGGTTAAACTGTACGTCGGTGATATCACCCTAAGACTGTTACGACGACTGTTTTGGTGATCACCAACGACGGACGACTTATGGGGCTCGTTTAAGATTACTTTGGACAGAGAGTAAAACGTTCACGAATTCGATAAATCCTTGTTTAAATCATTCCAAATGCAACACCTAGAAAACATGATTTATTTTACACACATATATATCTTTATTTATTATTTTTTCGTATTTTTGAAGTTATACTTCTTTTGGGTGTGTTTTGGAATTACCTAGCAATGACTGATTTCCGGCTCTCTTTGACGGTAAAATACACGAATTCGATAAATCCTTGTTTAAATCATTCGAAATGCAACACCTAGAAAACATGATTTATTTTACACACATATATATCTTTATTTATTATTTTTTTGTATTTTTTAAGTTATTCTTCTTTTGGAATTACTAGCAATGACTGATTTCCGGCACTCTTTGACGGTAACATACAATATATATATATATCCCATAAACAAATAAATAATTGAATTGAATAATATTTTGTGTGTCTTGTGAATGTTCTCGTTGAAGAAGAAAGAAGGTGCCGTCAATAATAATAATTATCGATTGTAGAAAATATTCTAAAGAGTATTGTTGAACGATCGATCGATCGATAACGTTTTTAGCGAATGTCTTCATTGTTTTCTACCATTGTTAACGTATAAAGCAAACGAGTCTTTCTTTATGGGTTGACCTCTTCGAAGGACGACCCGTTTCATCGACCGAAATGAGCGTTCGACTGTAAAAGCGGCCGCCCGTTCTTCTTCTTCTTCTTCTTCTTCTTCTTCTTCTTCTTCTTCTTCTTCTTTGGTCACGTATTTTCTACCAGGACAATTTGTTTAAGTTCAATAAGAGTCGATTTTCACAAGGTACGATTTTGAAAAATTTTATGAAAAGAATCCCGTTCGATCTTTTACGATTAAACCTGAAAAGAAGAAGAAGAAGAAGAAGAAGAAGAAGAAGAAGAAGAAGAAAGAATTCTATTGAATAAAAATTCAATTGTATGCACTCTAACACCTGCTATTGCAGTTGTTGCTGCTGCTGCTATTGTTGCTGCTGCTTTTTCCAATGAAAAATATTTTCCTTTACAAAGATATAATCTACAAGATAGATTCTATTGATTCGGATTCTAAGTGTTTGATCTAAATTTTCGATACTTCATTGCGATTAGATATGACCGTTTTTTATTGCGAAGTAATTTTTGTCGACAATGATTTCAAAAATTGATGTATAGTTTCTTTGATATATATAATTAGTTTATTATAAGATTAGAAGAAATAACAATTAATAATGTATTGATATTTTTTATGCAAACACTTAAATGATTCTATGTTATATTTGGAAAATTTGACTAAAGTATTTAAAAAATATCGTTTATCGTGATACATATTAAAAGAGAGTCTAAAGATACGTGTACTTTTTTCTATATCACATAGAAATTCTCACGTGTTAGGACGTACTTTTTATTTTTTTCTTAACCTAAAAGACCACCCAACATCTTTGGAATACCTTTCCTTACAATATTCTAATTGGAAATGATTTTCTTCGATTTAAACCTTTAAATTAAATCTACTTCTTTTTTTTTTAACGCGATCCATTGCAATTATCATTTTGATAAAACTAATAATTTTTGTGAAAATGTCCAAAAAAAAAAAAAAGAAAAAAAATTAATTAAAATCTACAAAATATTAATCCAATAATTTCTCAAATGTAAATAAACATTCATTGCACACAGAGACGAACCGATACGAATCCCTTATAAAAAAAAAACTCTATAGGTTAACGATAAATTGAAAACGTGCAACGTGTAAAAAAGTGATTGGTTCGTAGAAATTCGACAAAGGAGAAGTGAAATCGAGTAGAAAATAGGGAAACAGAGTGAGTTGGGAGGAATATGGTTATATAGCACGTAACATCATCATTTAATTAACATTAAAACATTAAAACATTAACGTTAACATTAATATATAATATACAAATATTATAATAAATTGATTTCGCTTGTTCTTGGTCCTGAAAAGATTTCGAAAAGATTTCGAAAAGATTCCGAAAAGATTCCGAAAAGATTCCGAAAAGATTCCGAAAAGATTCCGAAAAGATTCCGAAAAATGTGTAAAAGTTTCATTCTTTAAAATATTCAATGCACAGAAAAAGAAATAGAAAGAAAGAAAGAAACGGACGGACGGACGG